GAAACTATCTTCACTTTTTCAGGATCTCACGTTTTAAGAGAGATATTGCTCTTGAAGTGGCAAAAACTCGCGTGAAAATTTCAGCGTCCTCGACGTTTACTCGACGAAATTTGAGAGACCTATCTTTCTGCATGGAAGGCTTTCAGAGCAATTTCAATACTTCTTGGAAACGCGAAATCCAGCTCTATCTAACCCTACCTCAAACTGCTTCAAAGGTTATGAAATGGAGGAATGCAACCTTTTCATCGAGGGTGTAGATTTCGACGGTTTTTTTCGGGATTTCAGCAAATCTGACCCAGTGACAATCGCGCCGCAGCTGCCGTTGAATCGGCCTTTGATACACTCGGCTGTTTTGATATACTCAAGCAGGAATCAAGATTGAATCGCAACCCCGTGCCTTCAGGATTTCTGTGCATTTCTGAACGAACCTGACTTTGAGGTCACACAAAGTTAATGCCTCTTTCCTCGAGTCGATATTTCAGTAAATACACAAAAGTGTGCAGCGATGAAAGACAGTGCATAGATGACAAGATGAGGCGTCCATAACATTATTTTGCAGGATTTTTTTTGATTAATTAATTGAATTAATTTGCTCTGTTTTAGGGGTCGTGCCAGGATCTCGATTTCGGGGGGGGGGTCGTACTTCTGCGACCACGTACTCGACACGATTTTCACCCTGGTAGGGACTAGGTCCCAAGAGCCAGTTCTCCCTGGAGCGACGAAAAGGAGCCCTCAATTGGAAGAGACGCGACACTGTCGCGACTAAAAGTGCGAGGCTGGCGCTAAGGCTTGCTTGGATGCCGCCGGACTGCTATCCTTATCAATCTCGGCATACGTGGTGTTTGCACCCTCCTACGCTCGACGTACTCCCTCGTGTTCTCCTCCTCCTTGCAGCGCTTTGACTCTCCGTCGTATTACGGCCGGTTTTGTAAGGCAAGTCCAATTTATATTTAATATTCTAAGGAGAAGTAATTTAAATTGAACCGAGCGCGGACAGGGATAGCCACAGAACCTTATAATTAGGCTCTGAGATAGTGCAGAGACCAGGAAAAAATGGATAAGGACTAGTGAAGAAGAAAAGATAGTAATGGTAGGTGTAGTGCACGAACGAAGGGGCGAAGAGGTTTGGGATTTTCGATAGCTCTGTCTCATATTTCCAAACCATTGCTTGTGCGCGAGTCAGCGTGCGACGCTACATCGACATCTTTTTACAGTAACAGATAACATTAGACCTCAAAAACGATGGCTTTCGGCACTCTATCACAATCAGAGACCGAACAAAGCAAAAAAGGACCCACCTCAAACTACTTTGGTTAGGCCAGACTCGCTTCTCAATACATTTCGACATCGTCAGAAAGGCATTTGCCGCTTGCGCCCATCCTCTTCGTAAGACTATTTCAAATATTGCCCGACACAAGCGGCCAGCATTCTGCTGAACGTAGAGCGATTCCGATGCCAGCGAAAAACTGCGGACAAACGTTCGCGAAATGTGACTCTGAAATGGATATAGAACTATCGATAATCACGTCGCATAAATTTAATATTCTTTTATGATAGAGGTAACCAAGCTATGCCTGATGGCCCTCCTTTCCTCATCCACCTTTTCGGGATTCCGTACAAATATCGCTCGCCTCGGTTCTCACGAAATGGCTCACCAAATCGCAGTACATGGTTACGATTCATCAAAATGATATCGGCATGTAGGGCGAGTAAACACGAAACCGCTTTCATTTGTAAAGCTTTTCGTCTTTTTTTTTCTCCATGTTCCTATTATCCATGTATTTTTTTGTCTAATGCAGCATTTTTGAATTTCCCCACTGTCACAGAATAAAGATAATGATCATGATGGCTGGAGGGCGGTGCTCGATGATGCCACAAAAGATCATTGGTGAACCGCTACTCAGTGCGCTGGAAAGTGCGCTTGAGACCGCCTCTAAAGACTTTCCACCAGAGACGTCCAATGACGTCATCAGAACCACTTCGCACATCGCTGCTTTCAAACGAAACGATTTTTCGAAAACGTGAATATTCCTCGTCTTAAAACATTGAGTTCAGCGGGCGACAAGGATTTGGGTAATATAAAAAAAAAAAAAAAACTCAGCTGAAAGAGCAAGCTCGAGTGACAAAACCATGATGTAGTACGATTTGCACCTTCCAAGACTGACAAGGGAAGGATACCAAGTCGAAGTGGCCATTTGTGACGAGTTGTACACCAGTAGATGTGTTTTTGAACGCTGATCTCGAATCTGTTTTCCAAATCTGCGAAACGATTGGATTTTGAAATGGTTTGTTCTGCATTTCTGCTCCACCGACCACAACTATCCTTACTTTCAATGAGCTACCTTTTCATCGTGAACTGCCTTTAAATAACGCTAGAATCGCAATCCAGTATGCCAAAACAAACATATGGAGAAACTTAGGGCTTCCGAATGCAGATTAATAGGACGACATTGGTTTACCTGCAATAAAACGTTCACTTTCCCAGCGACACTTGCCAACCCTCCACCACGTAGCGGAAGCACGCAACCGCAGCTAATCAACTCCTCGAGATCAAGACATTCTTCCTCTCGAATCTTAAAAATGAATATTCCAGCAATAAATAAAAACGAAAACCAAGAGTTGGCCAATCTGCCGCCCGATCTAGCATAATTTGTGCGCAGAATAGAAAGACTTCCAAATCTGAAACAGAAGAGCTCCTCTACCTTGAGTTGGCTAAACTCTGTAGCCATCGATATTAAGGCAAGTACCATATCATCTGGCATGAAAGCACTAAGCGATACAGGAAGGCCTAGAAGTAAAGTACAAATAAAGTTACAAATCTGCCAGTACCAGAGTTTGACCTGAAAGCAACCGCTACATGACCTACCGGTTTCATTGAGCATTTCTATTGTTTCTCATATTTGATTAGAATTGGACGCAATTCCCAAAGATCGGTCGCGTGCATGAAAGTTTTCTAAATAGTGAGTAACCTTGATGGCCGAAAAGAAAAGCTGAGACTTAAGAACTCACACACTGTCGAACCGAATCATTTGGTTCTGATCGAGCTTGACGGCAACATCAGTAACCATGCGCGTTAGATGGTGACGTAAATCGGGGTCCTTGAAGAAAGGAAGGGAATAGCAGGAAGACCGCAAATCAAGAGGTTCGTCAAGTTAGCAAAGAGAAAGCCATCAAGCCGTCCCAAGAGAAAGTATTACAAAGCGATGTGTTCAGCTCACCTTATCCAGGACCATGTGTGGGAGGCCATAAGCAATTGGATTCTGCGTTGCTCTAGTATAGTAATACGTAATAACT